GCTAGGGGAGAGGAGAGTAAGTTTTCCTGGTTGTGCCCAGAGTGGCCACCAGGGCTCCCTGGGAAGGGCTGGAGGCCCCCTATTTCGAATTAAGTGTCTACACAGCACTTAATTCAAAATAGCTATTTCGAATTTGGCTTTACTCCTCATAGAATGAGGTTTACCAAATTCGAATTAAGGGCTCTGCTAATTCGAATTAATTTCAAAATAGTGGTTTGCATGTATAGACGCTATTAAAGTTAATTCAAAATAACAGCTGTTATTTTGGATTAACTTTGCAGTGTAGACATACCCTAAGAGAAGACATCATTGGCATGGGCATGTGCTGAGAATGGAAAAAGAATGCTTGTCAAATACCACCCTTGACTGGAAGCCAGAAAATGCAAGAAAAGAGAGGAAGATTATGAGCAACATGGAAACGAACAGTTCTGAACGACATCAAGCACCTCTACATGAAATGGGAAGATTTGGGGAGAAGGGTAATTGACAGGAAAGACTGGCAAATGTGGGTAGCCCAATGTGTGGATGAAGGTCACGTGAATTAGACATCAAAGTCATCTGTTCTTCTTAGACAGTGGGGAGGGGGAAGGGGGAAATCAACCTGATATCAATTTGCATGTGCCACTTTTTAATCAGATACAGTGTCCAATAAGCAAAACAACAGCATTTTCTTTGCTACAGTGAAGCAATGACAAAGAGTTCCCTGAAATGAGCTCTAGCTGGACCTGTATGTGCAGAGATACTTCCTTTTTCCTAGTCACCAGCAGAGTTCCCTGTAAGATGCAATTTGAGGCTCTCTTGCCTCCTCAGCAGAGCCACACAGAGGCTGCTCAGCTGTTTCGGGGCAGGGCCTTGTGGTGGGCGGCTGCAGGAGCAGCAGAACAGCCACCACATGGCCCTGTCCCCAGCTTCAGCCCTTCCCCAGGGCTGGAGCTGCAGCTAGGGAGGGTGGTATGGCAGGCAGTAGCTGCTGCTCCAGAGACTGGGGCCTGGGCCCGAGTCACCATGTGGGGAGAAGCGGTGGCAGCTGCTCCGGTGGCCGGGGCCTGAGTCCGGGCCCAAGCTGCCGCATGGGAAGCGGCGGCAGTGGCTGCTCCAGCGGCCAGGACCAGCCACCATGTGGGGAGCTGCAGCTGCTGCTGTGGGGCCCGGGCCCCAGTGACCGGGGACAGAGCTGCCACATGAAGTTAAGATCCCAATGCAACTAAAGAAGTTCGTGCCTCTTAGGGTCTTTGTTATAGGGCGCTCTGCGGGCTCGGAAAGGAAGCACTTTATCAGTTTGCAACTGACCGACGCTTGGATCATCTTATTGGCAAAAGACAAGGGATAATATTTTTTAAGGAAATCAGATTCTGCAAAATCAGGAGGCCAAATAAATACATCAAACGGGCCAGCTCTGGCCTGCAAATTGTGTGTGTGGCATTCTAGTCTGAGAGCTCTTACCATGAGAACGATTTCCTGATACTTTATTGTTATTAAAATTTAAATTTGATTTTGTGAAAAAAGAAAATGTGAGCTGCAAATTAATTCAAACTAATTTTGAATGAATGGATCAAACAGTGCAGTGAGTAATCCTGCAATAACATAGTTCTAATTCCAAGTTGGTTTGGATACTAAAATAGTGGGTTTAGACCAGCATAGTTTCATGTCTATCCTACTTAAGCAGGAGCCATTTACTAAAGAAAATAGCCAGTTACAGACACAAAACAGCTTGTACTCCGCTTGAGATTAAACTCGTCACCTTTATTTGCCAGGGAATACACCCTGCCCAGAGCTCTGCACACTACAGAGACCTCTAGTAGCAAAATAATATACCGAGCTGGGTGGGGTGCAGGATCATGCACCTTGTTTTGTTTTCGTTTTTTCTTACATAACAATTTAAATTATATAGGGAATATTGTTAGTAACTGGTGGGTGCCACAGTTGCATACATCCAAACAAGGGCACATGACGTCAATATTGGTGTACAAGACAAAACTCCCTCTGCTCATGGATGGAAAATCTTAGAGGGAACACTGGTCACTGACCACTGGTTTCTGTCTTTCAGCTTCCTGCTTGGTTTGGATGTCTGGGGCTCAGACAGCGTTTAAGAGGGTGGCTGAGGAAAACGTCACTCTGCCCTGTCACCACCGTCTGGGCCTCCTGGAGCCAAGAAGCCTGGACATTGAGTGGCTGCTGCATGATTCCAAAGCAAACCAAAAAGTGGTAGGTCTCTACTCAGACACTAAGAAGACATGTTTCCTAGTTCCATTGAGGGGGAGAACTTATTCATGTGGCCTGGCTTTGTCTACACTACACAGCTTTTAGCAAGATGGCCGTGTCAACACGGTCATGTTGCTAAAAGTCAGGCAAGTGTAAATGCTGTTTGTCTGCACTTTAGCCCACAACCCCTCTCCCCCCCCCACAAGCTGTGTTTGCTTTGTCAGTAGGAGAACAGTAGATGCTGGAGTTCACAGCAAGGACTGTCATTCCTGGCACGAAAGTAAGCCGGAAACCCCAGGAGCACTGGGAAGCAACGCCTAGTGCTACGTTGTGTATTTCCACAGCACTTAGTGACTGAAGGTGATGCCAAGCACTGTGGCATGCCAACCCATATTGCTTTGCTTTTTCTGTTGACAGGGGAGCTAACAATGGTGCCGTGATCTGTCGACAAAGTGGCAGAAAAACAGGTTTGGCGAGTTTTCAGTTTTGGCTACTTTTGCTAGTCGACAACACTTTCAGCGCCAAACCTTTCCAGTATAGACATAGCCTTACAAAGGCTCTCTCAAGAACACTAAAAGCATAGCTACTCTTAAAACACTACAACAGTATTGCCGTGTTGCTATAGATCTTCAATGTAGACGTTGCAACAACAGGAGGGATTCTTCCATCACTGTAGTTAATCTACCTCCTCGATAGGCAATAGCTAGCCTGATAGAATTCTTCTGTTGACCTACTCAAGGCACTAGGCTGGCATAGGTCAACCCTGAGTGATGTAGCTATGCAGATGTAAAGGATAGTCTAGAGTGGAAAATTAGATTGACCCAGCTATCTTGATCAGGGTATGAAAAATCCTCACTCCTGAACAATGCAGTTATACCCACCTAAGTCCCTGTGTTTTATATATATGGGTTAGATGTGCCTGTTTAATGCATGTAACAAGATCATTTCCTATGGTACAGAAGTCACTGATGTGGCATAGACTCTTGCCTCTGTATGAACTAGAACCATTGAAAACTGGCTGCAGATGGCACTGGTTAATTGCAACCGTATCCTGGGGTGTGTTAAATGCCTCTACTGATTCCTGATGATCAGTACCATGTAACCAGATATAAATCATGCATTTAAAAATATTTGCCTCTAGAGAGAAACTGATAAGGTAAAGTCCTAGAGTCTGGCTCTGGTTGTATTTTAAAACTGGAGCCCTGATCTTACATTCCTAACTTACCCAGAACTCCTAGTTAAAACAATTGAAAATATGCAGGGTAAATTGGGAATGTGGGATTTATTTAAATGCAGATATAATGCTTGACACAAATAAAGATTCTGCCTACACCTTAAGGAGCTCACAATCTGTCATCTCTTAACTAAAAATGCTAATTAATAATGATTCATCCGTGGGTTCTCAATGCTTTAAGAAGACTTATAATTCAGAGACTTAATCACCCCACAGTGAACCAATCTCTTTCTTTTTGTGCCAAGAGCATTAATAATAATATGAGTTACAGTATCCCCTCTTTTATACTGTGATGGCACCTAGAGGTTGTGGTCATGAATTGGTACCTTGCTGTGCAAGGTGATGTGCAAACACAGAACAAAAAGACAGTCCTTGCCCCCAAAGATTTTACAAAGGGAGGCCTGATTCACACTAAGAAATTAGGTGGGTATAACTGTTGCTCTGCTGGAGTGTGAAAATCTACAGCTTTGACAAACAATCAGTTAAACTGATCTAGCCACATTCTAAACAGTGTTAGGTCAATGGGGGAATTCTTCCACAAACCTGACTACCACCTTTCAGGGAAACCCTTCCATCAGTGTAGATAGTGTCTACACTAAAGTACTGTGTTGTAATGTTTTAAGCGTAGATGTGCCATTGCAAACAAATCAGCTTGAAGCTAGATATGTAGTTATATCGTAGAAAAGATTTTGACATTTTATTTTAAAGAGTTTTAAAGACTAAAATTCAGTCCTGTGTTTCTACTAACTTTTGAGATGACTCACAATGAACAATTGCTATCTGCACAACCACAATTCTTGCTGAATGCCACACACATCCACTGCCCAAAGAGTGGCAGAAAAGCATCATGAAGAAAGTGGCCAGCAAGTTAATCTGATCCATTTTCTCAAATCACAAATACATCACAGATTTGGGGAGAGAGGAAGAGCAAATTATTCCATTGTGCAAGAGTAACACAAAAATGCAGAAACTAAGTATGTTTTCTACAAATTGATAAGTGAAGAAATCTCACGTGAGGCCTGATACTGTGATTCTGTCAACACAATTCCTACAAATCAAGGAACCCTCCTTCCCCAGTTGAAGGAATACTAACACCCACACAAATCTCAGTTCAACCTGCCAAACCTCAGAATACCCAATACTGACGGCCTCCTCAGTTCAGATTTTCTGGAGTGGCCTCTGATGTTTGGGTGTCCAAACAAGGCTTGATTTTAAGTGATAATGAACACTCAACACACCCGAGCTTAGATCTATGGGAGCTACAGCATCTCTACAAATCAGGCCTGGCTTATCTCAATCTGGGCAGCCAAAATTTGAAGCACCCCAAATAAGAGGTTACTTTCAAAAATTGTAGCCTAAGGCCTTGTTTTATGCTCTATTTAAGCACCAGTCTAATTCTCTGCTCTGCTGTAAACCCAGACTCATTTTAAATGCCAGCTCGGGACACGAGAGACCCAGGTTAAATTCCCTGATCTGCCACAGACTTCCTGTGTGACCCTGGGCAAGCCCACTTGGCCCCACAGTGTCACTCAGTTCCTCAGCAATAAAATGGGGGATGAACTTGAAAATCCTCCCAATGGAAATGACCACACAGGCGGCAGTGAAGAATGACTCTCTAGTCTGCCAGATGCTGCTCACTATTGGTAGCCTCTTATTGGAAAAAGAAAATGAAAACAAAAACCAATGCAGCACAGAGAAAGAGTTCAAAAACATAGAAAGTTGTGCTTAGGAAAAAAAATAACACACCAATTTCATACCCACCAAAACAGAGGACAGACAGAGACGTAGAAAAGTTCACTTTTATTCAATCCCCAGACAGTGTACTGTCACCTGCAGATAAAGCCAGTACATCTATCCAGTTGTGTGAAATATTAACAAAGACATGCCTGGTCACTTAAATATGTATATAATATTGAAATTTTACTTATCTTAATAAAATCTCAGAGGGGTAGCCATGTTACTCTGTAAGGGTGCAGCTACACTGCACCATTTTTCCGAAATAACGGCCGTTATTCCGGAAAACCAATACTAGCCTCCATACTGCTGTTGCGTTATTTTGACCAAAAGTCAAAATAATGACGGGCTTTTTCCAATAGTTGTAAACCTCATTCCAAGAGGAATAAGCCTTTTTCTGAAAAAAGTTTTTGGAAAAAGGTGTGTGGATGCGGAAAAGGGAATTATTTTGAAAAAAGAAGCCTTCAGGAAATAAGACGGGTGCCCTGCTGGCAACTCCATCCACACTCATCACAGCTCTATAGTTCCTGTCTCCCAACAGCTCTTAAAGCTTCAGGCACAGGGGACTGGGCTTGTGGCAGGAAGCAGGCCTTGGGAGCTTCCAGACACTGCACAGCTGCCAGTGCCTGATGTGTGGGCACCATGTCCCGGCCACAAGCCCCCCAAGAGCCCACTGACCCTAACAGGGAGCACGCAGGGAGCCTGCCAGGGGCTGCAAAAGGCGTGTGCTGTCCTGGTCTGGGGAAGAGATCCTAGCCCTCTTGGACGTAAGGGGCAATGAGGAGAACCTCCAGGGTCTCCGCTCCAGACGGCATCATGCCGTTATAGATACGGCCAGATGGCAGACAGCCCTGGCCATGAACGGCCTCAACAGGAGCCTGGAGCAGGTCCAGAGCAAGGTCAAAGAGCTTCGGCAGGCCTACGCCAAGGCGAGGGAGTGCTCCCCACTCCTGTCTCTATTATGACAAATTCCAGCACATTCTGGGGGCGGAGCAGCCCCTTCCACATCCCTGGTGGTGGACTCGGGGCTGGAAAGACCCATCGTCACCCGCCCGGGAGTCCTAGCCAAGGAGGAGGAGGAAACAGCCAGCATAGTCACTACGCTGACTTTGGAGCTGGTACCCCAGGGCCTGGATGTCTCCCGCACAGGCAAGCCCTGATGTGGACCGAGCTGCTGCAGCAGGGCCACAACGTGTGTGCAACCGTCTGGGAGATGATGAGCTACCCAGCACCAGCACCAGTCCCAGTCCCTGCTCCAATACCCGCCCCCCCATCCCATGCCAGCCCGTCCCATCCCATGCCTGACCCTGCACCTGCCTCCCCTCCTGCCTAGCCCCATTCTCCCAGGACTTGCCCACCCTCGAGGTCGCCGAGGTCCCTGGACATGAGGCGGAAAAAGCACCCAAGCCAAGCGCCAGTCTCAGCCTCAGCTCTGAGCCTCTCCTCCCCTCTCCTAGGTTTTCAGCCGCCTTCCCCTTCCCCTTCCCCATATCCGGGTTCTCAGCCTCCCCCTCCTCCCCAGGTACTTCTATCTCAAATAAAAAAACCAGTCTTTTTCTCAAAAGCAAACGTGTGTGTTTATTGGGTCTGCAGAGAAGCGGTTAGGGGACGGGTTGCTGAGGGAAAGGCAGAGGGGCAAGGCACAGGCCCTAGTGGGGAGGCCCTGGGGAGAGCTAGTGGGGTCCCTCAGGGCCTCCCGGATGCGCACCCCCACCTGATGGGCCTGGCGGGTGGCAGCTGTGTGTGGCTGCTCAAAGGCCCTCCACCCCGGAAGGAAGGCCTCCCCCTTCCTCTCTATGATGTTGCGGAGAACGCAACATGCAGAGATCACTGGGGGACGTTGTGTTCCCCCACAATGAGGCACGTCAGGAGGCACCTGAACTGCACCTTCAAGCACCTGAAGGTGCATTCAGCTTGGATGAGGGCCCTTCCCAGGCAACCACTTACCCGGTCCCTGCTTGGGTCCTGGTGGCTGGTGTAGGGCATTAGGGGGTAGGCCACATCCCCCACAATGTACAGTGGCACCTCAACGTCCACAACCCTGATGTGCTCAGGGAAGAATGTGCCAGCCTCCAGCTTCTGGTAAAGGCTGGGCTTGCGGAAGACATGGGCGTCATGCGCCTTCCCGACCAGCTGAAGAAAATGTCCGTGAGCTGTCCGCGGTGGTTGACCAGGGCCTGCAGGACCATCAAAAAGTATCCCTTGCGATTTATATACTGTGCTGCCTAGTGGTCAGGGGCATGGATGGGAGTGTGGGCTCCATCTATGTCCGTCCCCCTGCAGTTGGGGTAGCCCAGGGTGGCAAATCCCACGATGGGGGTCTCCCATGCAGATGACCCAGCACAGCAAGAAGGTGCTTATGGCTCTCACCACCTGCAGAAGGAGACAAACAAACAAAACAGGGAATCAAAGGCGGTGCCAGAGCCTTTGGGAGGTCCTCAAGCCCTCCCCCCCAAACACCTCAGGAGCCCCCCCCCCAATGGCTGTGTGAGGGTGGCACTGCAGACCTCCTGGGGATGGGGCTTCCCCTCACCCCCATCCCCAGCCCACCCTTTCCCATACTCCCTGCCCCCGGGGACTGCAGTCCGAGAGTGCCATGAGGAGGGCCCCGATGGTCGACTTTCCCATGCCATACTGGTTGCCCACGGTAACTGTCTGGTGTGGTGAGCTTCCAGACGGCGATGACAATCCACTTCTCCAGGGGGGGGAATCAAAGGCGGTGCCAGAGCCTTTGGGAGGTCCTCAAGCCCTCCCCCCCAAACACCTCAGGAGCCCCCCCCCCAATGGCTGTGTGAGGGTGGCACTGCAGACCTCCTGGGGATGGGGCTTCCCCTCACCCCCATCCCCAGCCCACCCTTTCCCATACTCCCTGCCCCCGGGGACTGCAGTCCGAGAGTGCCATGAGGAGGGCCCCGATGGTCGACTTTCCCATGCCATACTGGTTGCCCACGGTAACTGTCTGGTGTGGTGAGCTTCCAGACGGCGATGACAATCCACTTCTCCAGGGGGGTGGCGGGTCGCATCCAGGGGGATGGTTGGTGTCACGTCGTCAGAGGGCAGAGATGAGCCAGGCACACAGCTACATGAATGTCTCCTGCCTCATACGGAAGTTGTGGAGCCACTGCTGGTTGTCCAGTTGCTCTATCGCCAGACAGTCCCACCAGTTGGAACCAGCCTCCAGAACCATCTCTCCACCTCGCTCCTGCACACAGGCAGAGGGTCTGAAGGATGAGCTCGGAGTCTGTTATTCTGAAAGAAGCTTGCAGTGTAGAGGTACCCTAACTTTAAAAGCGAGTAGTCCTGTGGCAACTTAGCCCTGGTCTACACTAGGGCTTTATTTTGAAATAACTCCCCCTATGTTGAATTTATAAGCCGAGCAGCCACACTACCAAGCCCGTTATTTCAAAATAAAGGGCTGCTTATTTAGAAATCTGTACTCCTGCTTTTCTCGGGAAATAATGCTAATTTCAAAGTAGTTATTTTGAAATATGGATGGTCTGGTGCCGCTATTTCAAAATAACAGCTCCCCACAGTAATTTGAACTAATTACTCCCCAGTGCTTCCTGGGGCTTTCAGTCGAGGTAGCACGTCCACATTAACAGCACCTGCGTCAAACTAATTTCAAGGATTCCCCGTAGTGGGGACACTATTTTTATTTTGTGAAATTGGGAGTTAAGTCAAGTTCAGTTATTTCAAAATAGTTTCTTAGTGTAGACATGGCCTTAGAGATTAACAGAAATATATATCATCTCATGAGCTTTCGTTGGCAAAACCCACTTCTTCAGATGAATCCCAGACAACACACACCCTTGCAGCCTCAGTGGCACTGAACAGCTAGGTGGGGGAAGCTAGTCTCCAGCCCCGCCCGTTCTGCCTGACTCCCCACGCCTTCTGAGGGCCCAGAGCTCGCTCCCTCCCTCAGGATCCAAAGAAATCTCTCATCAGCCTAGGGTAAAGGGTAAACAGCACCAATGTAACTCATATTACACAAGTATGAACTGTGACTGCACTAGGGGTTTGGACCAGTGTAACTAGACTGATGACTGAAATCTCAACTGAAATGTCAACCTAAACAAGGGTTTTCTAAATTGAACCATGATATGGTTTTTAGATGGATTAAAATTTGGGTACAGGAAGAAAGCTCTGTACAACCTTAACCGAATACCCACCAACATCTCCATAATTGCAAAGAACTGAAGTCATTGCCAGATAGAATTCCTAATTTGCAAGTTGACCTGGTTTCAAATGAGTCTCCTGTGATTGGTTTGCTCAGCTGAGCTGTACAGTATAGTAACTGGTCTGACTAACTGATTAGTGACTAATTCTGTCCCTTAGGTTATCACCTACTCTGGAGGCAATGTGTATAATGAGGTGAATGAGGGGCAAAAGGGTCGAGTTTCCTTCACCTCCAATTTTCTAGCTGGAGATGCCTCCTTGCAGATTGTATCTCTGCAGCCAAGCGACGCAGGGCAGTACACGTGTAAAGTTAAAAATGCCGGGCAGTACGAGTGGCATCATATCACCCTGACAGTTCTAGGTAAGTTCATTTTGTTGTTCCAAAGCAAACCCACTAGACTCAATTCCTTGAGGCACATTTTGCTTCAGTACAATACAGAAGCACCTGAATTGCTCCCAGTATCTCCTGTCCAGGTTTCACACTCAAGCTTCACATTTGCCTTTGCATTTTCCCGTGAAGGATAGAAACTGGAAAAGGCCTAAAGTGCTGTTTGGAGGTCACTGCAGCCAACCAAAGGACAGCAGAAAACATTCCTTCTGGATTTTATATCTGATATGGTCACAAAAGCTAGTATGCCATTGCAGCTGAGTTGGTAATGATCCCAGACAGCATTAAAGCAAAAGACTCTAGATTCATATCCCAGTGCTAGGAACTGGCCAGATGTCTGATAACAAGATGCGGGAGTTGGCATTGTTTCCTCCCTGACTGAAGGCTTCCAGTTTGGGCTTTTGTTTAGTATACAGTTAATTAAAAAGGGGGTGCGAATGCAGTGGGTCTCCAGCAGTGGGAAAAAGAAGAAAGGACAGACAGAAGAAAGAAGAGGGCGGACCACAGGTTGTTCGGGGAATGAAGCAAAGTGTGATAGAGATTTGCAGTGTACTGAGATGCATGATGAGATTATAGGGATTGAGCCAAGGTGCCTCACCTTTCTGGCTCCACTAGGCACTCATGTGAGTGGCAGACAGTATCGAATTCCCAAAGGGAATGAGGCTGGTGCTTTGTCCTTTACACCACTGCTGATGGTATGTCACGTTGCTTAGAACTACCACTGATGCCTCTGTGCCCATAGGAGACATATGCCATCCTTGTCCTCAGGCTCTGGCAAGAGTCATTGCTGTAAAGGGGTCAGAAGAACCTCCAATAAACAAGCAGCAGCAATTTTCTATGATTCCCCCCTCCCCCAAATGGTTAATTTGGAAAGGCAGCTTTCAGAAGCTGATAGCCAGAGGGCAAGAGGACACTGTTTCCATCAGCAGCCAGCCAAAGTGTTGCCAATTGAAATGCAGCTGGCAGGTTCTGCTCTATTTCCCTGGGCAAGCTCAGCTCTTATTAAACTCAGTTGTTGTGGTTGCTGGAGGTGAGGTTTCTAGCTTGCTTCCAGGTTGCTGGAGATGAGGTTTCTAGCTTGCAAAGTTCCCATTAACTTCAAAAAAGGCCAGGATTTCACACCAGATTCTTAGACGGGCTAGGCAATAACACGGCGGCAGTTCGCCATGATTATCCCCTGGCAGACCACCTCCACTATATTTACCTGCCCAGCTGCAGGTACTGGCAATCGCAGCTCCTGTTGGCTGCGGATCACCATTCTCGGCAAGGGAGTAGTGCAAAAAAGCACAGACTGGGACACCACTTCCTGCTGCTCACATTGGCTAGGAACTGCAGTCTGCAGCCAACAGGAACTGCGATGGCCAGTACCTGTGGCCGTGCAGGTAAATATAGTGGTGAGGGCCTGCCAGGAGCTAAGCCTGGTGGACTCCAGCCCACGGGCCGGTATTTGCCCACCCCTGCTCTTAGTTAACTATTGATCCAAATCTCCAACCTGTTTCTTCCAGAGAAACCTTCCAAGCCCAAATGCTGGGTGGAAGGCGAGCTTTCTGAAGGAAAGGAACTCTCCTTACAGTGCAATTCTGCCTCCGGCACAGCACCCATCTTGTACCAGTGGCAGCGCATAAGTGATGAGGAAGGAAAAATGGAACACTTGCCCCCTACGGCACGAGTCAGTAAGTCATCCCAAGCCCCCTCCTGGTGTTTCCACAGATGAAAGAAAAAGATTGAGGCCTTACTTCTCCGTGCCCAGCTCTGTCACTGGCTGATGTTGTAACACTTAGTAAATCACAGAGTTGCTCTCAGCCTATTACCCTGTCATTACAGTGGATGCTATTGAGTGGAAGCAGTGCAGTAGTGACTAGGTGCTCCAGTCATGGGAAAGGGCCCCATTGCGGTAGGCCCTGTAGGTACTCATAACAAAAACACAATCCCTGCCCTGAGTTTACAGTCTGCCTATTCAACTTTATTATTTGCTGAGTGTCAACAATATGATCCACATCAATAATACTTCCCAGGGTATTTGGAGGCCCTAATTCATTGCTTTTCATGTGGGGTTAGAGTTTTGTATGACAGATATTATAGAAACATATATGACTGATTGTTAGCATTATTTATTTGCATTCACGTAACAGCTAGAAACCCCACCCCAAGATTGCAGCCGCATTGGACAAACATAGCGAGAAAGAGGCTCTGCCCCAATATGCCTGCAATTTAAATAGGTAAGACAAAGTGTTGGAGGGAAAAGAGAGACACAGAGGTCAAACAACTTGTCCAAGAATACCCAGAAAGTCAGTGACAGGGCTGGAAACAGCTTTTTTCTGCCCAGGAGACATTTCCTCTGATTTTTATGACTTATTTGATTTTTGTGTTTCCATTTCAGACTTTTCTAATCCTGGACAAGTTCTAATGAAGAATCTCACACAGATGGCTACAGGGTTATACCAATGCACTGCCTACAATGAGGCTGGACAAGAAAATTGCTTTGTGCAGGTGACAGTCCAATGTGAGTATCAGAGGGTAGCGAGTTACCCAAGATGCTTTAACAATGGCAGTAGCTCCAAAGATCTCCTATGCTGTTAAAAGCTGTGTCTGTACAGGAGACATGCCACACCCGTGGTTTGAGCTGAATACTTGCATAATCTGAAGGAACTCTTCCTTACTCATTATTGACTTTATGGGTTTGCATAACATTACTGGTATAACTGAGGGTTGTACAAAAAGACCTGAGGGTTAGATATTTTGTTTCCATTGACTCTGAGAAGATGGCAATAATGCTGAATTGCTGAGCTTCCAGGGCATTCAGCTGGTAGAGGCACTTACAGATTTACTGGCTGTTTAATAGAGGACTATTAACTGTAACACTCCAATCAAAAATTAAGCATCTGTCCTAATTAAGAGAGAAATCTGTCTAAAAACAGCCTGAAAAGATTTACTATGAAACAAAATAATGCAGATTAAAAATTATAATTGATGCATTTCATTTTTAAGCCACATTTGACATCTTCTGCATAAAGGCCAGAGATTAGGGTGTCACACCTGGTTAACCATGTCAGCTGGAGTGAAAGGAACAGGATACCAGGCTATGGCTAGCACACTGCACTGTATCCCCCAAGATTTATGTTTAGAATTCAATCAATCCATAAAACACATTTTTTCTGGCTTTTCAAAACTCTGTGGGCCCAATTCACAGGTGAGAACAGCAGAGAGGTTGAAGGCCTGCAGTGGGAGTTCTCTGTGGAGGTCCGACAGCTTTACAATTTATCTCC